TGGGTGTTATGTGGAAACCAACTTGACAATGAACTATTTGTAAAAAAATAAAAATAAAAATAAATTTAAAAAATAAGAAAAACTAAGTAACAGCTATTAAAAGGCGTTTTGGAGATAATTGGGTTATTTAAAATATGGACTATATATTGAAGTTGATTTTCTGGATATTATAGTCTTAAGAGGGATATGCTGAGAGTCAGGGTTCAAGTGTTATGATATCTGTAATTGACTTTCAAGTGGTTTTGGAAAAAATGCATGTGTGGAGGGGTGCCTGGGTGGCTCAGTCGGTTAAGCATCCGACTTCGGTTCAGGTCATGATCTCGCAGTTTGTGGGTTCGAGCCCTGCATTGGGCTCTGTGCTGACAGCTAGCTCAGAGCCTGGAGCCTGTCTTTGGATTCTGTGTCTCCCTCTCTCTCTGACCCTCCCCTGCTCATGCTGTCTCTGTCTCTCTCTCAAAAAGAAATAAAACATTAAAAAAAAAATGTGTGTGTGTGTGTGTCTGGATAAATACATACATTCATATTTATATAATACAGTTATGGCCAAAAGTTAACAAGTAGTATATTTCATTTAAAGGATATATGAGTGTTAACTATACCAGTCTTTCAACTGTTTTTGTGATCTTGAAATTTTTTAAAATAAAAAATGTAGGAAAATATTAAAAATAACAAAAAAAAAAAAAATACATAAAAATAACAACAATAGAAATAGTCATTTCAAAAAATAAAAATAAATGCATTTTAACAAGTAATATGTTTTCTCCCTCTGTCTCTTCTTTTCTGGTTCAGGTACACTGTCAGCTTCTTATTAATCACCACTCAACTGGGATTCTGCAGTGTTTATTTTATGTTTATGGCTGACAATTTACAACAGGTAAAGAGGTTTTCTTCTGGGCAGAGTGGGAGAAAAACAGACATCCTGCTGCTAAGGCTGCATTAGCAAAAGTATGGTGTTTGGATCATGGGAGAAAAATGACTGCATTTTACTCCCTGATCAGATAGCTTGGGATTTCTCTGAGTCCTGGAAATCACTTTTTTAAAGGATTACTGAGAAGCCAAAGCAACACCTGAGGAGTGTAACCAGGATGGAGAGAGAGGCTTGCAATCATGTCCAATAAAAAATAACGGAGAATTTGTAGCCTGAAAAGTGTCGGTGAGATTCACTTTTTAGGCACGTCAGGGTTGTAACACAGAAGGTGATGAACTAAATATAAGACAAACAGGCTGCAATGGTGCCCTCAGTGCATGCCCAAGAGACATTACGAATCAATCATAGCATTCTCTCTTGGCTTCATGGGTTAGCGGGAGCATAATCAGTTTTATGCCCTCCACCAGCCAGAACTATGGCAAGTATCATAGATGAAATAATCAAGCAGACAGATTTCACTCAGTATTCAGAGCTTTCTAACGTTTAGGTCTAACTAAAGTTAAAGAAGATATTCTTGTGTCATCAAATCCCATTCTCTGGGTGAATGAAAGGAAGCCAGTTGGCAGGAAAGAAAAGGTTGAGTTAGATCACAAAAGGACCCTTTAGCCTTGAGATTTTAAGATTCTGAGAGTTTCTTATTGTGACAGCCATGGGCACTGCAGATGAGGTTACCAGATTTGAGAAATAAAAATATAAGACACACAGTTAAAGTGGAATTTCAGATACACAGCAAATATTTTTTATTTTTTACTATGGTGTCCTATGGAATATTTGGGACATCCTTTTACTAGGAGTTACTTGTTAATAATCTGAAATTGACACTTCGCCGGGCATTCTGTGTTTCATTGGCAACTCTAAATACGCTGCCCCCATTATGTCTACCTCAGATGGTGGAAGAAGCCCACATGACCTCCAACAACTGCCAACCCAGGAAGCTCCTGGTGCTGGCCCCAATCCTGGACATTCGCTTCTACATGCTGACAATCCTGCCCTTCCTGATCCTGTTGGTGTTTATCCAGAACCTCAAGCTGCTGTCCATCTTCTCATCGCTGGCCAACCTCACCATGCTGGGGAGCATGGCTCTGATCTTTGAGTATATCCTTCAGGTCTGTGCCTGAAACCGTGCAGGAGGGGGTGGTGAGACACCTGGGGAAGGTGAGTACCATTATGGGCAGGTGAAGGTGAGGAAGGTGACCTGCTCGGAGCAGCCTCTGCTAAAGTGACATCTGTGAACACTTCTGCCCCACAAGCTGTAAAAGCTAGTCATCACCTTCATCACCGTGATTGTCACACTGGATAACCGTGAGTCATTCAACAGTTTGTCACTGAATACCTTCTGTGATCCAGGAATTATGCGAGGGGCTGGGGTTCAGTGTAAGCAAAACTGATGGGGCTCTCTGCTCTCGTGGAGGTTACGTTCATTTATGAAGATAAACCTCAACAAATAACCAACAAAAATTGTATCAATGGTAGGTTGACAAGAGACACATGTATGACAAATTTTCTTTACTTGGTGCCCCTTTACATGTATGGACTCATTGAGTCTTTATGATGATACTATTTTGCAAGTACTACTTGCAAAGATACTATGTTTTCTTTACACGTATTAACTCATTGAGTCTTTATGATGATACTCTTTTGCAAGTACTAACTACCCTTATCTTCAGTTTACAGACAAGGAAACTGATAAACTGAAAGTAGTTTTTTCACCAAGTCCAGTCAGACTCCCTCCCAAGCCCAATGCTTTGCTATTAACACAGGCCATGAAATTCTAACATTATAGCTTCATTTCTCTGAATCTGAAAGTCTCTGGGGCTATATATTAGTTTCCTATTGCTGCTATAACAAATCATCACAGGTGTAGCCACTCAAAACAACACAAATTTATCTTACAGTTCTGTAGGTCTCGCCAGGATAAAATCAAGCCTGGCTGGGTTTCTGTCTGGAAGCTTATGGGGAGAATCTGTTCTCTGGCCTGGTCCAGCTTCTAAAGGCTGCCCACGTGCCCTTCTCATAGCCCCCTTCCTCCTCCAAAGCTAAGAATGTAAAGCTGAGTCTTTCCCATGCCACCATCTCTCTAGTTCTCTCTTCTGGTTCCCTTTTTCACCTTTAAAGACTCTTGTGATTACATTGGAACCACCCAGATAATCCAAGATAATCTCTTTATTTTAAGGTCAACTGATTAGCAACCTTAATTCAGTCCAAAAACTTAATTCTCCTTTGCCATGTAATATAACATATTCAGAGATTCCAGAGATTATGATATAGACATCTTTGGGAAAGAGCCACTATTCTGCCCATCGCAGGAGTCTATTGAATAATCATTCCCGCTGCACCTGTACCAGCTACCAGACGGCACGGCCCTGGGGGCAGCAATGAGAAAGAGGCGTTGGAGAACGGGCAGACAGGAGACCTGAAGTCTTACCTGAGCCATGCCACTAATGTGCAGAGTAGCCTCCGGCAACTCCCTTCCCCTCCGTCGCTCCCACTTTCCCCACATGTAAATATGTGGGAAATAAAAATGTGGCAAATATTTACAATGTATTCCTTAAGAAAGAATGAACTTCTGATCCGTACTACAACGTGGATGAACTTTAAAGACACTATGATCAGGGAAATAAACCAGTCACAAAAAGACAGATAGATGATTTCACTTACATGAGGTGAAGGGGGTGGGGACGCTGGGTAATAAGGGGCTACAATTTCATGAATAATATAAAGTTTACATTTGGGAGGATAAAAAAGTTCTGGATATGGGTTGTGATGAGGGTTGTACATCAGTGGGAATGTAGTTAATGTCACTGGATTATACCCTTAAAAATATCCAAAAAAGTAAATGTTATGCTTGCTATGTATAGCTTACCACAATAACAAATGAAGAATTTTTTTTAAAAGACGAGAAGGCTGATTCATCTCTAACTATCTCATGGGTCTCTGTTGATGGTTCGCATGACCCAGCTTTCTACCAGGCAAAGTTTGAGGATGACTCCCATGCCATGGCAAAACCAATGCCCTTATTCTACTTCCTCTCAGGAGATTCCAGATCCCAGCACCCTCCCCTTGGTTGCAAGCTGGGAGACCTTCTTACTGTTCTTCGGTACAGCCATCTTCACATTTGAAGGTGTTGGTATGGTAAGATGGATGTGGGCTCTGTGTGAATGGTCCCTGTTGCCCTTTCTAGGGAAGCTGGCTTTTCCAGATAACCATGAGTCTTTATGAAAAGTGCACAATATGGTCTTCTCCTGATGGAAGGGGGAATCAGGACCCATCTGCTGGGCACCAACTGCCCCACGCACCACACTAAGCCTTGAAGAGTGAATGTGAATTTACTCATTGGCCTAGACGGAGTAGGGCACGCCTGGCCATAGAAAATAGGAGAAAATAAAAAGGGGTGTGGCCCCTCCTGACCCTGGGTCACCTGGAGAAGGATGTCTGTGACTGTGGGGGAACTCTACTTCTTCACAAGGTGCCCCACTTCTTACTACCTTTTTTTTCTTTCTCAATCTCCTTTCCCCTTTCAGGTCTTGCCTCTCAAAAATCAGATGAGGAATCCGCAGCAGTTTCCTTTTGTTCTGTACTTGGGGATGTCCCTTGTCATTATCCTCTACATCTGCCTGGGGACACTGGGCTACATGAAGTTTGGGTCAAGCACCCAGGCCAGCATCACCCTCAACTTGCCCAATTGCTGGTACGTCCATCCTTGTCTGCCTGGTGGAGAGAAAGGGAGGTGAGTCATGGGACCTGAGCCTCAGTAACAGAACGTGGCATTATCTTGGGTTATCGTTAGCACCAGATCTTACCTGCTAATATTAGTTTTATAATAGCAGGAAGGCTTGATAATCCAGACATTGTGCATTGTCTCATTTAGTCCTACAGCAGCCCTATGAGTTACCATCATTATTATCGATTCCATTTAATGGATGAGGAAGTTGCTGTTTGGAGAAGCTGTTTGGAACTTTCTCAGCTCACAATGTTTGTGAGAAGCTGAAACATGAAACTGAATCTGTCTGACTCTGTGGTTTATTTTGTTTTGTTTTGTTTTTAATGTGTGTGTGTTTTTTTTATATCTGAGAGAGAGAGAGACAGCATGATCATGGGAGGGTCAGAGAGAGAGGGAGACACAGAATCCAAAGACAGGCTCCAGGCTCTGAGCTAGCTGTCAGCACAGAGCCCAACACGGGGCTCGAACCCACGAACTGTGAGATCATGACTTGGGCCGAAGTCGGACGCTTAACGGACTGAGCCACCCAGGTGCCTCTGACTCTGTGGCTTAACGACCCTAAAACGGAATGATCTGGGAGTGTGTGGGAGACACAGACAGCAACAACAAAGAGTAAAACTCCAGAATGGTGACTGAGAGTTCTGCCCATGGATCGATCACTACACAGGCCCCCAGTTCCAGAAATGGGCCTAGGCTGCCATTGCTCTGTCCCAGTTGGAAGTTAGTTTTGGAGATTTTACATCTGGTCACTCATTCATTTATGCATTCACTCATTCAATCATTCACTCATTCACTCATTCATTCATTCTTCTAGGTAACATCTGGGGGGCTGGCACACAGCAGCATCGAGCATTCACGATCAACATTGTTCTGGCACTATAGTGAGAGCATTAGTGACTAAGCAGTCAGTACAGCCAAGTGTTTAACCACACAGGTTCTAAAACTAAATAAAAGAATTTGCATCCTTCTTCTTATTGACCTTGGACAAGCTACCTAGTCTTGTGGACCTCATTTCCATCCTCAGTAAAATGACGATAATACTGGTGCCTATTTGTATAGCCTCGGTTAGACTCCAGGAATAAACAACTCCAAAATCTCCATGGCTAAACACACACAAATGCCTGATTCTATGCCCGTGTCGCATGCCTCTTATGAAGTGGCCAGGGCTCAGCTCCACACCGTCCCCACCCCAGGACACAGAATGCTGAGACAGCCACGGCCTGAAATGTTGCCATGGCAGAGTGCTGTGAATCATGCCCTTCACCGTGAAGCTGCCAAAGGTTCACTAGGAAGCGACACACGTCTCTTCTGCTTGCACTTGCACTCAAAACAAGTCCCATGGCCACACCTCGCTCCCAGGGGCAAAGAAGTGAAATCCTATCACTTGTCTGGAAGAACTGGAAACACTGGTGAACAGCCAAGATAAATGCCTGCCACGTTATCTCGAAGAGTGATCATGAGGATTAACTGGTTGAATATACATTAAATGCTTAGAAAAGCATCTGGCACAGAGCAAGCCCTCATTGGATATTAGCTCTGATCATTGTTATGTCTCCCCAGAGCCTTGTTCGTTCACAGGGAGTAGGATGATGGGACATCCATTTCCCATAAGGCCGCAGTTATAAAAGGAGAAAAATATCACCAGCCCACCCACCTCACTGTGTGGTGATAATGACTACATGGGAGAATGATATGGAATTTCTTTGAAGTCACGACTTACATTACACAAGCAAGACACCGTTCTAATATACTTTTCCTTTTCAGGGCAATCCAGGCTGCCACTAGCTACCTTGGGCAGGGCACTTTCCTTACGGGGATCTCAGCTGGAAAACGTAGGCATCAGGTGCCATGGGAACCTCACACCTGCCCTGAACCTGGCTGGCCATCAGCTTCTCTAGAGGGGCCTTAGCTAACTACCCCTTCCCAGTAAGCAAAGGACACACAACTCAAGAAGATGACAGGCATGAGCACACAGTTCACAGGCAAATTTTAAAGACGGCATTTTATAAGTTTGAAGAGATAATTTGTTTCCTTCACAATAACAGCAATTCTGGGGGCGGGGACAGAATGGCAAAGACCAGCACACACTCACATGCTGTGTTTTGGCAAGGATGTGGGGAAGCAAGCACTTCTACATGGTAGGACGACAAAGGGGCGATATGTCGATAGCTATCAAAAGTTTAAATCACGTATAGCTTTAAGTTAGCAGTTTTACTTCTCAGGTTGTATGCTAAATGTACATAAATACCTGTGAACAAGGACATATATTTCACAGCATTCTTTACTGGCAAAAGACTGGGAATAATCTAAATATCCACTATTTGAGGACTAGTGAAACAAATAGTATATTTATGCTATAGGAATAGCAAGCATCTATTAAACGGAAGCCACATCTGTGTGGACTGCTAGGAAACAATCTCTGAGCAAAGGATGGGTGGCTCAGTAGGTTAAGCATCTCTTGATCAGGTCATGATCTCACAGTTTGTGGGATTGAGCCCCATATAGGGCTCTGTGCAAATGGCACAGAGCCTTCTTGGGATTCTCTCTCTCTCTCTCTCTCTCTCAAAATAAGTAAATAAACTTTAAGAAAGGAAACCACCTCCAAGAAATATCTAATGAACAAAAATGGAGCTCAGCATTGTATAGAGGATACTAGCATGTGTGTGTAAGTATATATTCATTTGGTATAAGCTTATATATACACTGATCATTTCTGAAAGAGCTACAAGAAAACCATTAGAGGAGCTGCCTATGGAAAGAAAAACTGGAGGCTGGGAATTAGTGGGAGGGAAGCTTTTCATTGCATGACTTTTAAACTAGAAATTTTACTCTATACAGATAGCCCTTTGTTAAGAAGTAAAAGAATAAAAGGCGCAGATCCCTGAGCCACAGACCAGTTGAATCAGGATCTCCAGGAATGTGAACTTTTATAAGCTTCCCAGGGGGTTCTCATGGCAGGTTGAGCCTGAGTCAGTGGAGGTTAGCCAGTTCTGTAACTCAGTGACAGGTACCAGCTTCTGGGCAATGAATGAGTCCTGAATGGCCCTTCCCAGAGTCACATCAAACTTCACATCCTATCCATCTGTCTGCAGGCTGTACCAGTCGGTCAAGCTGCTCTACTCCATCGGCATCTTCTTCACCTACGCCCTCCAGTTCCACGTCCCAGCTGACATCATCCTCCCCTTCGCCATCTCCCAGGTGGCAGAGAGCTGGACACTGTTTGTAGACCTGTCTGTCCGCATAGCCTTGGTCTGTCTGACCTGTAAGTAGGATAAAAAGGGTACTCTTTGCCCAAAGCTGTGGCTGAGTCACACTGACATCTATCCCACTATCACTGTCCCTGCCACTTACCTTCTTTGTGACCTTGGGCAAGACACTTCGCCTTCCTGAACCTCAACTTTCCACCTGAGAAATGGGCTTACTAGAACAATCACATGTTGCAGACATCTCTGCTGCCTACACATGGAAAGTATACATTGGCTGGTTTATGGGGAAACAAATATCATTCATTCAATCACACTCTTATATGCCTGTGGTATGTCAGGCACGATACTGACATTGTCTAATGCTCATGACAGCCTAGAGATGTAATATTACCAGCTGGAGGAACTATGGCCCAATGACCTTGGGTAACACACTCAAATCATATAGCTGCTAAGTGACAGAGCTGGGATTTCAGTACAGGTTGTGTGGCACCTAAGCCTGTTTTCTATCACGTGCCATATTCCTTCCTATCGTAAATTAAGATCAAGACCCTTATCTAAAGTGGTGTGGAACTGCAGGGGAAAACAAGGGGCTGATTTGTTATAGTCTTAGAGGTAATTTTTTGGGTGCAAAATTTTCTCCCCTCCCCCTCCCATCTTCCTTCCTTAATGCTTCCTTCCATTCATTTATTCACTCATGCATCCTACATTAGGCACTGTTGGAGATATTTGGGAAATATCATGAACAGGGCTGGGGAATGTTTTCTCTGAAACATGTCCAGAGAAAGAAAATCAGAAAAGGTGCCCCATGAGGAAAGGGGGAAAGACCTCAGGATGTTTTGCCTAAAGAAACTAAGGCTTGGGGGATTTCTGTATCTGTCCTTAAACACCTGTGGGATATTGTGCAAGAGAGAGAGAAAAGTTAAGTCTTAAAGACTCCAGGAGCCTTTAAAGTTGAGGAAATCCAGTCTCGGTTCAGGGTCAGGAGAAACCGTCATCCCAGGAGCCTTCTAGCAGAAGAACATGCCATCAGATGTTCTGCTTCACATAAATGGAGTTCTATTCACAGAAACAGCACATTGGCTTGGTTTAAGGTATCACAGAGCTTCCAGTATGTACCAAGACATTTGGGACCTGTAGCTCCATTGGTTTGAGATCACTCCTACTAGGAATGATCTAAGTTGAAGAGAAAACCTGAGTGGTTCAGTCCACTTGAGATCAGGGAAGGCAGTGCTACACAGACCTGACTTTCTAATGATATGCTCTGCTTCTGTTATACCATGGATGACCACTTCCTCCTTCTTTATTTACCTGTCCATTCCATTATTCTTTATTCATTCAACAGTCATTTGTAGAGCACCTACTATTGTTGAGCACAACTGACATTGTGCTAGGCATCAGGGATACGATAATGAATAATAAAGAAGGCATGGCTCCTGCCCTCATGAGGCTTACAGTTGAGTAAGAAATATATGCAAGGAAATAACTACAGTGCATTGTGATGCATGTTAAGAGGGTACATAATGATGTACCATATGACGGTTAAGATCGTAAGAGGAAGATGCCCTAAAAGCACATAAAAGGTCCTATACTTTAGCCTAGGTCAGGTCAGAGAGTCCTCTCCAGAGGAGTGATAGTTCAGTTAAGACCTAAGAGATAAGTAAGAGGTAGATGGAGAAGTAAAGAATGTACCACTTGTAGGAAGCATGCTATGCACAGATCTGAGGCAAGTACTCATAGCCTCTTTGGAGTACTAAAAGCAGGGGGGAGTGATAAGACATGTGGCCAGAGGATCTGGAAGGGTCCAAGTCATCAGGGGCCTTGTGCTAAGGAGACCAGGCATTGGGGAGCCGCAGAAGGTCTGTGAGCAGTGGGTTGCCATGACCAGATATGATCCTTCTAGAGAACTCCTGCAGTCTACCTTGCATTATAGCTTTACTGTAACATATTTTCTCTGCCCTGTCAGTGTGAGCTCTCTTGGAGGACACCGAGTTTTCTCTGTGCCTTCTCCAGTAAGCAATTTATTAAATACCTGAGGAGGGAAAACTGGACAGGACACAGGACCATCCCATCAAAGGGGTGACAAATTCTCAACTGCAAGAGTTGATGAGTCTCTCTCATTTTCTGTTTGGATGTGTTGCAGCAATTTCAGAAAGAGGTGATGTTTTCAGATCCAGCAAGCTAGTGTGGGTGTTTTCTAGGACAGTTTTTCCCTAATGTGTTCATAGGAAAATCATATGGTTATGCAAAGTGAAATCACATAAATTGTATGTTTATTCATTCAAACATTATTGAAATTGGACTTCCCCAGTGAAAGAGAAGAGAAGAGAATGAAGGAAAAGAGAAGAGGAGAGGAGGAGAGGAGAGGAGAGGAGGGGAGGGGAAGGGAGGGGAGGGGAGGGAGCAGCCTAAGGCTGTTTTTAATTTACCAGAATCCTAGGAGTAGGAAAACAAGTGGTTGAGATTCTGACAACAACAAACCCATCTCTCATTTTTTATTCATTCTTGCTTCAAGAGAGTAGCTATTTTTTGTAGAGTAGTACAGATTCATAGTAGATTCAGTGCCTGAGTAAGAATCAAACGTTTATTGAGCACTTACTATATACCAAGTTCTTTCATATACAAAGGAGGCAGCATAGTGTAGCAGAAAGAGCTTTAGATACTAGGCATTTCCATGGATTCTCATCTCAGAGAATGTTTGACCTTGGCCACATCCCATTCCCTCTAGACCTCTAGATTTCCCCATCTCTTTAATGAGAATGTAATAATAGAAAAGTGGCAGAGGAGACTTTCTAACAACTATTATAACAACTATCAGTCAGTTAAGCATCCAACTCTTGAGTTTGGCTCAGGTCAAGATTTCACAGTTCATGGGATCAAACCCTGCATTGGGCTCCACGCTGACAGCACAGAGCCTGTTTGGGATTTTCTCTCTCTTCTTCCACTTCCACTCTCTCTCTTAAAATAAATAGATAAAATTAAAAGAAAATAAAAGGAGAGGATCTACATTGGTCATTAAAACAGAGGTGGGAGTCCACAACCACAGTGCCTGACCTGCTGTTCACATCCTCAATGGGACCTTTTCCCACCTCTCCAAAATGGTCAGTCAGGCATCTGTGGGCTTATAAGGCTCCAATGAAATGGTTTGTTTCTGAGCTTCCTTCTTGCAGTAACACTCCGTGATTCTAAATTTCTTCTCTCGTTGCAGGTGTCTCAGCCATCCTCATCCCCCGCCTGGACCTGGTCATCTCCTTTATGGGCTCCGTGAGCAGCAGCGCCCTGGCCCTCATCATCCCGCCCCTCTTGGAGATCATCACCTTTTATCCTGAAGACATGAGCTGTGTCACCATTGCAAAGGACATCATGATCAGCATCCTGGGCCTTTTGGGGTGTGTATTTGGAACATACCAAGCCCTCTATGAGTTGATCCAACCCATCAACCAATCCATAGCCAACTCCACAGGTGTCTATGCATAATTCTCTATTTTTATTCTAATAGCCCTCCCATCCTCCCACCCCCAACTTGACTTCCATTGTGGATGTTATATACATTCATCAAACCCCAACATCTCTATATTAATTAGCGGCATCTTTATCTTTCCAAGAGACATGTACCTGACACAAGTCAGTACTCATACATCTCAAGGTATGCCTTTTTTAGTTTTGGATTTCTTCAGAGGTCTTTTGTACCTATGCACCAAAACCTCATTCAAACCATTTGTACTATCAGCCTCATTTACTCGGAAAAAGGATGTCATTCGCTCATGACATCCGTGGAAACAGACAAAGCATAAATGTAAATGCAAAAGCAATTGTCTTCTCTATTCTGCAGTTGCTGCCCTTAAAGCATGAGATTTAGAGAAGTGTATGTTGGGGGAAGGGGAGTTTTCTATTCAAATATTCTTCTTTTTTAAAATTTATTTATTTATTTTGAGAGAAAGAGAAAGACAGAGAGAGAGAGAGAGAGAGAGAATCCCAAAGCAGGCTTGATGTTGTCAGCACAGAGGCCAGCACGGGGCTCAATCTCATGAACTGTGTGATCATTACCTGGGCCGAAATCAAGAGTCGGATGCTTAAAATGACTGAGCCACCCAGGATGGATACTATTCTAAGTGGAAGAGTCACAGACAGAACAAAAACAGAACTTAGCAGTAATTTTACCCAGCCATCTGGCTCTGCCGCTAATTTCCTTTGGCATCTTGGGCAAGTTCCTCACTCTCTCGGACTCAGTTTTCCCATCTATGAAATGAAGGACTGGATGAATTTGTTGTTAAGGGTTTATCTAGATCTGACATTCTGAACGTGAAAAAAAGAAATTAATTTATATTTCAACCACATGTGAAAATCAAGGTGTTTGCCCTCAGGAAGACATGCTATTGCCCTGAAGATACGTGCCTACCAGAAGTAGGGTAGGGATACAAACTTAGTTCTTAGCAGTCTGTCATTATGGAGACTTCCCTACCTAGAAGGATACCACCTTTTCCTTTCTCTTTCTTCTCTGATATCTTAAGTCCACTTAGAGCTATTTAAGCTAAAGAAGCTGAGTGATTTGTGTGAGGGAGAAGGATTTCATCATGTACAAGGATTATTAATAGACCTACTTAAAAAAATAATACCTAGTTTGAGGAAGGGTTTTGAAAAATAGGCAGATTAGTTCTGTAACCAGTATTACACTATATGTTATCTAACTAGAATATAAATAAAATAACAAAAATTAGAAATTTGGAGAAAAAAAGAAATCGTCTTTTATACCAAGACTACAAAAAAAAAAGGGAATCCAGGGTTGGTTTCATATTTGAAATCAATGTAATTAACCATTATTAACAAAAGAAAAAAGAAAAAAGAAATAATCATCTCAATAGACACAGAAAGGCATTTGGCAAAATCCAACATCTATTCTTAATATAAAACAGCAACTAGGAATACAAAGGAATTTTTCCCACTGGTAAAAAGCATCTATAAAAACCTACAGCTAATGTCGTACTTGATGGAAAAAACTAAGCACTTTCTCTGTAAGATCAGAAGCAAATCAGAGACTTGTATTCAATATTGTGCCAGATATCTAGACAATGAAATTAGGCAAAAAAAAAAAAAGAAGTAATCAAGATTGGAAAGGAAGAAATAACTGTCTTTATGAAGATGGCATAATACCAGTGCAGAAAATCCAGTGGAATCTACAAAAAAGCTACTACTAATTGGTTTTCAAAGCTTCAGGATACAAGGTCAATATACAAAATCCAATTGTATTTCTCCATACTATCTGCAAACAACCAGAAAATGCACTTATAATTGTATAAAAAATATGCAAGAATTGGGGGGTAAATCTGATAGCAGTTATGAAACACCTGTTAAAGACTATAATATATAATCTTTATAAAGACTATAATATATAATCTTTATAAAGACTGCAATATATTGCTATAAGAAATTAACACCTAAAATACGTGGAGAAATACACCTTGTTCATGACTCGGAAGACTCTTTGTGGTTAAGATATCAATTCTCACCAAATTCAGCAGGCTTTTTTTTTTTATAAGCTGATCAGCTGATTCTGAAATTCGTATGAAAATGTAAAAGAAATGTAAAATAGCCAAAATATCTTTTAAGAAGAACAAAGTTGGTGAGCTAATGTTGTCTGATTTCAAGAATTATAACAAAGCCAGGGGCCCCCGGGTGGCTTGGTCAGTTAAGTGTGTGACTGCAGCTCAGGTTATGATCTCACACTTCATGAGTTCGAGCCCCATATGGGGCTCTCTGCTGTCAGTGCAGAGTCCACTTCAGATCCTTTGTCTCCCTCATCTGCCCCTCCCACATTTGCACCCACACATTCTCTCCCTCTCCCTCAAAAATAAACATTTTTTTAAAAAAAAAGAAAACAGATGAACATAGGGAAAGGGAAGGAAAAGTAAGATAAAAGCAGAGAGGGAGGCAAACTACAAGAGACTCTTAAATACAGAGAACAAACAGTTGCTGGAGAAGAAGTGAGTCAGGGGATGGGCTAAATGAGTGATGGGCATTAACGAGGGGCACTTGCTGGGATGGGGACCCATGTAAGTGATGAATCACTGGGTTCTACTCCTGAAACCAGTACTACACAGTATGTTAACTAACTTGAATTTAAATAAATAAATTTTTTTAAAAACACTCATATCCAGAATACATGAAGAACTCCCAAAGCCCAGTGATAAGAAAACAATTTTTTTAAATAGGCAAAGGTTTGAACAGACTCCTTATGAAAGAAGATATATAGATGGTAAATAAACATATGAAAATAATGTTCGCTATCATTTGTAATTAGGGAAATCTGAATAAAAACCATAATGGGACACCACTATATATCTGTCAGAAGGGCCAACCCTATTAAAAGACTGACCATCCTAGTGTTGGCAAGGATATGGAGGAAACGGAACTCCCCTGAAAGGAAAGGAAGCATATTGCTATAAAAAGACTTGTACACAAATGTTCGTGGTAGCTTTATCATAGTCGAAAATGCAACCTACGCTCTGCAGGGACAGAAAGCAAATCTGGTTGCTTAATGGGGGAAGGGTAGGCAGAATGAGTGGCCAGTATTTCAAAGGGGCCAAGGAAACTCTTGGAAGTGATGGATAATGTATTCACAACTCTGACCGGGAGGATGGTTTCCCAGGTATGTGTATGTATTTTAAAACTTACCAAGAATAGTCTTTAAGGTATGCACAGCTTAATGTATATCAACTATAGTTCAATATAGCTGCTAAAAAATAAAATGTGAAGCATGATTCCATTTGGGCTCTTTTTTAAAAAGAAGTCATATGCATATAGTCAAGGGATTTTGAAGGGTATGCAGAACACAAAACGTTATAGGAATTTTCACCAAGTTGGTTGTCTTAGAAGTGAAATTTTATTTTCCTTCCTCCCTCCCTCCCTCTCTCCCTCCCTCCCTCCCTCCCTCCCTTCCTTCCTTCCTTCCTTCCTTCCTTCCTTCCTTCCTTCCTTCCTTCCTTCCTTCCTTTCTTCCTTTCCTTGCCAGTGTTATTGGATTTTTAACAGTGATGTATTGATTTTATAACTAAAGTAACTTCATGTAAGGAGAAAATGTAACAATGATGTGTGTCACTCTAATGGAAACACCATTTTTAAGAAACTTTTTATTGTGAGCTATAACATGCATATGGAAAAGTATATAAAGTATAAGTCTGTAGTGTAATGCACATGTATAGGCACTTTTCAAAGTCACCCTCTATTACGTGATTGATTCTATGGAATCCCAGGAATCCCAGCTGGAGTGAGAGCCCTCATCCTCAGTGAATCATTCATTTACCAATGAATGATTGGAGAATCTCTTGGAGGAGATGTGAAGTAGCTATGAAAGAGAGGGAGGTAGAGAGGAGCATCCTATCACTAAATAAAAAAGCTATACGCCAATAATAAAATGTTTACTCTTTTGAGGCCCAGACCATGCATGAGTGTGGAGAAGGTGAGGCTTTGGGGAATATATGGAAACCTTCGTATAGAATATAGAACAATAAAGTGCAGGTAAGAGAGCAGTGTATGACACGGGGGCGGGGGGAAATGGTCATATACCTTGTTGAGATTTTAACGGAAGCTATAGAGCTTCCCTTGTAAAATTCACATATACACATACATACTAAATATTACATGCAATTACATACAATCACAAAGCCCATAACGTTAACAGACCTTGTGTTGCAAAATACCTCTGGAAAAAGGAATGCAAGAATTTCTGCTTCTCAGAGCATTGAGCAATCTACAGATAGTTGGGTAGAAAACCCTGGCACTAAGGTTTGAATGCAAAGTAGAGCACTGAAAAGTCAGATTAGGGCGGTAAGCTACCAGACAAGGAACCCCGGGCCACCATGTGACTCGTACAACACACACCCTCTGCAACTGGCACTCTGAGATCACAGGACCCAAACTGGTCATTCCAGTTGCAACAACATAGGCTGAATTCTCCACTGCCATATGCCCCAGGCCCAGTTGTTGATGGAGGGGGACTCCTGTCTATCAAGACCTTCACAAATATTCCCCATTGCAGTTCTCTGTGGGACTAATATGATCGGTCTTAAAATGATGGAGCTGGACTCTGACTGGGGTGTAGAGTGGAATGATATGCAAAATCATTTTAAAGAGAGGCTTAATTTGGATCTTCCACAAGCCCATTGGAAGAAACGACTGGGATTGCTACATAGAGCCCAAGCTGAGATCACTAAGCAACACAATCCCCCCATGGGCGAGTGTGGGTGGCGGGCAGCAGGAGTCACCCATGTGAAACTGAGGCATTCAGAGTTGGCTTCAAGTGGACATCAGTGACATAAGTGCAATGGTTTCCTTTTTTAAGTTTATTTGTTTTGAGAGAGAGAGAGCGAGCACATCAGCAGGGGAGAAGCAGCGAGAGAGGGAGAGACAGAGAATCCCAAGCAAGCTCTTCACAGTCAGTGCAGAGCCCAAAGCAGGGCTCAAACACGCAAACCTCAAGATCATGACCTGAGCCAAAATCAGGAGCCGAAAGCCTATCTGACTGAGACACCCAGCCGCCCCAGTGCAATGCTTTATAAGCCACAGTGCCCCTTAGAAATGAAACTGAAAGGCAAATTCCTAAGGATGGACAAGATTTGCTCTTGGGAAACAATGTCCACGCTGACTCATACCCACACAGGAGCCCACGCCTCAAGCACTTTCCTGTGTTTAAAGACCAAAGAAAGGTGGGTGGGGGCAGAACTTCTACCTGGTATGTCAATTCCACTCGAAAGTGAAAGTGAGACGACAGGACTCTCGAAAGGGAAAATCTTCAGGAGGACTCCAACTTAGGAAGCCGGATTAAAAGGTCAGGGAGGTAAGCCACCAGACACAGAAGCCCAGACACCCTGTGACTGGTATAACACACACTCTCTGATTGCAGTCAGCACTCTGAGATCACTGACAGGACCCACACTGGTCATTCTAGTTGCAACAGTGTAGGATAAATTCTCTGCTGTCTGCGCTTCTTTGGAAAATCTGGGACCTGGCAGTTGAGACCCAACTGGAACCCAGTTGCAAGGCTCCCCATCACCTCCACCTCCCCAACTCCCCCTCCCCCGCGCCCACTCCAGCCACTGCACCAGTAGCAACTTTCCCTTTCAGTCTTAACGGCCCTTGTCCATTTCCCTAGCACCATGTTCCCCCTTTCTACAGAGGTTTCATATACGCTGTTCCTCTCTTTACCTACTTAATTCCTCATTTTTCAGATATCAGCTATCACTTGCCCCAAGAAAACCCTCTGTGACTTCACGTATCACCCCAGACTCTGCAGTCCCTGTTAACCTATATTTTGTAACATCACATATTTCCATGGCTGTCTCCCTCTCTGAAGTTCCATGAGCTAGTTCTCAAAATAGAAACCTCAGGAATATAGTTTTCAATTTTTTATTTTGAAAAAGACTTTAAGATGGCAAAAACAACACAGTTCCCAATATACCTTGCACATAGCTTTCACTAATGTTAACATCTTCCATAATCCTAGTGCGATGATCAAAGCCAAGTCATCTACACTGGTGAATCCTGTTTCTCAGCCTTTTTCTAACCCAGCACCCAATGCAAGAGGCCACAATTTCTTTATTCTCTGCCAGGCTGTGACTGTTCCTCCATCTTTCCTTATTGTTCATGGCCCTGCACTTTTGAAGAATACTGGCCATTTATTTTGTAGTGTCTCTCGATTTGGGTTTGTCTGATCTTTCCTCATTATCGAAATTATCCATTTTTTGACAATCCATTTTTACCACAGAAGTCTCATTGTGCCCTATCAGTGCATCATACTGGGAAGTGCACAATGTCAATGTCTTATTACTAGTGATGTTAACTTAGTGATGTACACGTGGTTAAGGTGGTGCCTGCCAGTTTCCCCACTATAAAGTGACTCTTTTCCCCTTTGCAATTGCAATCTTTTAAGGAAATATCTTGAAGCCATGCAAAATCCTGTTTTTTAAAAAATTTTTAATGTTTATTTTTGGGAAAGAGAGACAGAGCATGAGCAGGGGAGGGACAGAGAGAAGAGAGACACAGAATCTGAAGCAGGCTCCAGGCTCCGAGCTGTCCACACAGAGTCCAACACAGGGCTCGAACTCACGAACTGTGCAATCATGACCTGAGCCAAAGTCAGATGCTCAACCAACTGAGCCACCCAGGCCCCACTATTTTTAATCATACTTTTAGCCAATAATTTTAGCTTATCCAAGGATACTACTTATCTACAGCAATTATTATAATAGTGTTTGCCTAACAGTAATTTTTTTTTCCTACTTCCAAAGTTCCTTCTCCATTTAATTGGGATTCTATTGTGTATAAAATCACATTTATTTTTACTCAGTCGATGAGAACACATGACTATCATTATTTACTTTATTGCTCAAAATGTCCAAGATTTGGCCCCTGAGAGCTCCTTCAAGTTGGTCCCTGTGTCTTTTCAATATGCCCCCATATCCTCATTATGCACAGTATGTGTATTTTCTCAATTGTAATATACATATACTTTCAGAATCGCTAACTCCTACTTCTGTGAAAAACAAATTGACTAACTAGAGTCCAGTATTTGTGTACAGACCCTTTGGTCTTTTTTAAAAAATTTATTTCTGAGAGAGAGAGAGAGAGACAGTGTGAGAAGAGGAGGGTCAGAGAGAGAGAGAGGGAGATACAGAATCTGAAAGAGGCTCCAGGCTCTGAGCTGGCTGTCAGCACAGAGCCCAACATGGGGCTCAAACCCACGAACTGTGAGATCATGACCTGAGCCCAACTCAGACGCTTAACTGACTGAGCCACCCAGGCGCCCCAGCAGACCCTTTGGTCTTTAGCTTTACAGCAGCCCAACAAAATACTGTCGCTTTAGTTAGTAATCCTTCTTACCTCCTTCAATGTGGTGGCATTCTTCATTTGAAATACAATTCATTTGTTATTTGTATTCCATTCTGAACTCCCCTCACTCGTGGTTGATTTTCATCATGCTTTGGGTATGAGGAACATTATTATGGTTCCAAAAGCCATAGTTACACGAAAAGAGATCTCAGAACTGTCCCCCCCACCCCCTTCATCCTTCACACCCTGCTATTGTTTCCTCTTCGTGCCACAATATTCCTACCTACCCTCTGTAAATAACTAATCTCTTTAGTTCCTGGCTTATCTTTCCTTATTTTCTACAAATGAGCCAAGACATTTGTATTTATTTACAAGCACCTCTTCTTTCTTCCATGAAAAGTAGCACATTATACTTCTTTGCACTTTGCCCTTGCACGTAACAATGTATCCTGGAAATAACTCAACATGGATTCAGAGATCTTCCTCCTTCTTTTTCATAGCCAAATAGTACTCAGCGTGGACATGCTACGTTCAGTCACTTTCTCATCGACATTTACATTTCTAATATTTGCAATCAAAATGCTGCAATGAATAATCTCGTGCAAGTTTATTTTTGTATTGTTGGAAGTGCAGCTTCAGAGAAAATTCCCAGCACTGAAATGCAGGGTCAAAGAGCAAGCACCTTTGTTTTTGTTTTTTTTTTTTAAGTTTATTCATTGATTTTTGAGAGAACCGGCGGAGAAGGGGCAGAGAGGGGACGGAGGATCTGAAGTGGGCTCTCTGCTGACTACAGAGAGCCTGATGAGGGGCTTGAACTCAGGAACCACGAGATCATTACCTGAGCCGATGTCAGATGCTTCACCCACTGAGCCATCCAGGTGCCCCAAGAGTGAGCACTTTTGAAGTTTTTTAGGTTCTGACAAATTCACCACCAAGGATGGGGAATTTCACTCCAACCAACTGTGCAGAAGCACCTGTTGCCCCATAGCCTTCCCAGAAGTGTGGTTTGTACTTCTGTTTTCATCAACCTGAAAGGTGATATTCTCTCACCATGGGTTAGGTTTGCACATTTTTCATGTTTAAGGGCCGTTTTTACATCTTAATGTGTGTGAGAGAGAGAGTTTATTTACGAACTTTCTCAATTTTTCTATCAGGTTTTTAGTCCCTTGAATGTTTCATTCTTTATATAGCAGAAATATTAGACCTTTGTCTATATGTGCTATAAATATTTACTTCCAATCTTTTGACTTTATGGTATTTCTTGCTGAGGGACTTTTCTATGTGTATGTAGTCACATGTATCCATCTTTTATCATCTCTATAATATGCTTTGATTTCTTTTAGTATATGTGTGGTTTCACTTTCGGACACTTAGACATTGGGTCTATTTGGAGTTTACTTTGCATACAGCGTAAGTTTACTTTGCATTCAACTTTTCCCAAATGGCTTTCAGTTGGCTCAGCACCATTTGTTAAAAAGTCTCTTTTGCCTATGATTTGAGACTTCTCCCCCCTCCTGAGACCTGGGGGAGCATTTGACCCAAGATCCTGGCATGAGATGGAAACATTAACCAAGACAATGAGATTCCATTCTTGGGTCTAAACGAAAGAGCAACTGTCAGAAAAAGCCCCAAAAGGCCAACAGAGGACAAGGCTGGAGCTGAGCGACAGGAAAGAAAGCAAACCAAGGAAAGTCGGACAGTGCTGAGGTGGAATGAAGCAGAGATACCAAGCAGCTCATGAGGCAGAAACAGAAGAGATGGTCCCTGGGATCTCCTCGGCTCTGCGACAAGCCTCTCTGGCAGAAACAGCTCAGTGCAGACAAGCTCCTAAATCCTGACGTGCTCCATGGACAAATACACAGCCACGACAAAGGAGGAATTGTCAGCAAGTTAAAAAGGTTTATTGTCATTCCGGGCTCCAAATGAGCCCAGAAGCTGGGGGTGATCCGTGGGTTAGTAAGTTGTTGTGGAGGACAGGATGATGGACAAATCCAGGCACCCGATGTAAGTCCACCCTTCTTCATGGAATCCTTGCTCCACAGAGCAGCTGCTGGTGGGTTCTAGCTCTTTCAGTGTTTGCCCCAGCCACCCTGACAGCGTTCCCAGGCTGAGACCTCATGATCCCCACAGCTCACAGCTTGGAGAGGCTGCGTCCCCCTCCCTGAGGGCTAGAAGAGCCTACTCCGTGGGTCAGACACCTAGGTTTGGCCGTATGGAGGGAGGGACAGTACAGGAGGAGCGGTCCCACGACCAGAAGGACAGGGAATGCAGGTTCGTATGTCAGAGGTCGCAAAGTGGCCATCCAGGGCCGTATTTCCCCACTGACAAGTCTTTTAGGCCCTTTTGGCCTGCACAGTGTTTTCATCAGTTGCCAATATTTAAAAACTGTAAGATTTCATAGAAAAGTCTGGATTTCTGGGCTTTGCCGGGGGGGGGGGGGGGATTGAGAATATTTGGCAATACTGAGGCCACAACATTCTCCTATGACACCAAGTGGCCATAGCTTCACACCAGATGCCCCTAAGGGCTGAATGCATCCTTTCTAACTCATCCCAGGCCCCGCCATCTCTGATAATATCCAGCTCAAGACTGGACATCAGCTGCCTTATAACAATGGATATATGCTGCCATAAAAAGGGGAAAAAAGATGACACGCCTGGAAGCAATATGTTCCTGGTGGCCCTGGTCGCTTGTGCTCAGCTCTGTAGGCACCTGAGTTTGTAAACTATCTTAGACACATGAGAGCATTCTTAAATCCCTCTCCCAGAACAGCCCTCCACCATATGCCCTGCCTCTCCAGGATATGCTATGTCCCACTGTTCAGTGAACAAATCTAGAAAAGAATACTGAATTAATCGTAGGAGTTAACGGAGGAACAGCCCAAGATGAGCTACTGCAGCCCCTTCGTTGTAAGAGGGGACTGGAATGAAACAACTGTTAATACTCTCATTCTGCTTTGGAGTCACTGACCAAAAAAAAAATAAAATTTTTTTTTTTTTTTTTTTTAAAGAAGATCATGAAGATATTTCAGGAAACCAAGATTGGGTCAGTCTGAGCTTGAGGTTACAAAATATATTGGTCCTATTCCTTGACTGTTTACAAACTGAGTTAAGCTCTGAGAAAGCCATTGGGTTGAGGAGGAAAATGAAGCAGCAGGTACAGCAGGTGTCTCGGGCTATCAAGAACTGCCCAGCTCCTCCCTAGGTTGGCGCTGCCTAGCCATGTCTAAAATGTCAGCGGAATAAAATGATTTTCAGCAAGGGTACTGCATCATTGCAGAAATGGGCCTGAAGGGGGACAGAGAGTCAGGACTGGACCTTAGCAAAGGCAAGACAGAAGAAGGGGGCTCTCTTCCTGGTCCCCCTTCATTCTGCTGTGTGGCTGGCGCCACCTTATTTGCCCTTCAGCGAGGCAGAGATCTTGACACAGCCCAGACGCTCCCCGTAGCTGCTGAGGACCGTCTTGATGCGGTAGTTGCCGGAGCTGAGCCAGCTGGGCACCTCCAGCTCGGGCAGGGTGAAATCACTCTCAGGCAGTGAGTAGATGCCCTGCATGAGAACCGGTGGATCACAGGTCAGGGGGAGCCTCCTGATGCAGCCATGAAATGCCCCTCCTCCCACTGTCGTGGCAACCACGCGAGATTTGAGATTGCATAGCACTAAGGACCATAGAGGGGTAAAGCTAAAGGGCAGTGGGGGCACACTGCCCCTCAAGTCTCCCAGTTCACAGACAGATAAACCAAGGCTCCTACAAGATAAGCGATGCGGGATAGATCACACCCCACTTAGACATCTAGGTCTGCAGGAGGAGAATGCAAGAACCCTTCTCTCCAGACCCCACATCTTTACTCCAGCCACAGAAATGACGCACTCCCCCCCGGAGTACTTACCGCTTTGAAGGGACAGTGGCAGGGAAGTCCATAGGTGCGCAGGGGCTCTGGGCAGGGCTCCCCAGGGGGAGTAAAGGTGTCAATTATTTGGCAGAAGTCTTCATAGGTACAGCTGCCAATTTGTTCCACACACGGGATTTTGGCCCAGAAGCCAGTAACTTCTTTTTCCAAGGTCAATTCCACCTGGTGAGAAAGAGTTGGAAAAAGTGTAAATTCCAAGGCAACCATACCAGCTCCTCTACACCTTTAAAAAAAGGTCAGCATTTTACTTTAATCACAGAATTTCTAGTTGGATGGGGTCTTGGAGATGTTCGGATTCAGAAATGACAACATGGTGGCACATGTCCCATTCTTACCTTTTCCTGTGCCTTAAAGGTTTATTTATTTTTGAGAGAAAGCACGAGCAGGGGAGGGGCAGAGAGAGGCTACCAGTGCAGAGCCCAACACGGGGCTCCAACTCACCAACCATGAGATCATGACCTGGGCTGAAATCAAAAGTCAGACACTTAACCAACAGAGCCACCCAAGAGCCCCAATTGCTGTGATTTTTCCCCCCTTCACTGAACCACAGTCTTAGATTTCTTCAGATAGTCATTTCCATTGGTTAAAGCTAACACTTGAGTTGAAATGCACTTGTCCTCAAATTGCTAACTGGCTAATTGGCATTGCTTCCTAGACCTCCCTTCTCGGCCCAATCTTGGCTTCACAACCCTTCTCTGTGTAAACCTTCAGGCAGCTACTGCCGGCAGCTTGGAGTTGGCCATTCTTGGATCAAACCTTCTCTGTATAAAAGACAGAATTTGAAACAGGAATTTATAGGGAGATCACTGTGGGATCGATGTAAGGAAGATTTTCTTAACAATCATAGCCAGGTCACAACAGACAGAACTACCGCAAGAAGTGGCGGGCTTCCGGGACCCAGATGGGGAAGCCCCTGAAGGACCCCTGCACCCAGAGAGAAGCTGGAAGAGAAGATCTGTGATGCGCTTCACACCTCCACGCCGTCATGACCCTACTCATGTTCTAGAGGTTGCGGCTGACCCAGAAGTGGCCGGAGCTCAAGGCAGACAATGCCAGCTGTGCGTGGCACATGTTAACATTCACTAAGTGAGCAGTCTCTCTGGACCATGTTCATGCCCCACCAAATGTATCCAGGGAAAACAGGAAAGGGCAGGAGGAAGTTAGCTCATTCGAGCATCTGATTCCTTATGGATGTCGTGGCAGGAAATGACAACGTTAGGATCCCTTTCAGCTCTGACATTCTAGCATTTCATGTTTCCCAGCCTCCAGGCTCACTTGATTTAGGGCTTTTGTTTCTTAGAGACAAACCCCGGTGGGCACTTACTCCCCCAGAGCCTGCTGGGCTTAGAAGGCTGGCTCCCCAGGCTGTTAGCCATCCAACTGCCAGATGTCAGGACCCAGGCCCAGGACGAAGGGAGATGCCAGTGTAGCCTGTATTGTAATCCCAAGTGGACCAACTCAAACCACTTCCCCCGCTGACCTCAGCCCACTCGTTACCCTGCATGGTCCCCTCCCGGCCTTTCCTGCTCTCCTGCCAAGGCTGCCCCAACCCCTTTGCACAGGAAGAGTGGTTGGGAAGCTACTCCAGCCTCGTCCTAGAATTGTGCCCTGGTGGGAAGCTACTTCTCTCAGTTTCCTCCTTTCCCTGACCTGCAAAAGCAGGATATTTTATTTTATTTTATTTTATTTTATTTTATTTTTTTAAATTCTTTTTAATGTTTTATTTATTTCTGAGAGAGAGAGACAGAGACAGCGTGAGCAGGGGAGGGTCAGAGAGAGAGGGAGTCACAGACCGAAACAGGCTCCAGGCTCTGAGCTGGCAGTCAGCACAGAGCCCGACGCGGGGCTCGAACCCACGAACCGCGAGACCGTGACCCAAGCGAGAGTCGGACGCTCAACCGACTGAGCCACCCAGGCGCCCCAAAAGCAGGATATTTTAGAGCGCCTAGCTTTCTCACACAACCCCACGGAGTGAGACAGAGGCTGTAAATCACTTAGCATGGAGCCTGAAATCCAAACGTTAACTTCTGTGGGACAGCCTGTCCCACCTTCTCTCTTAGCCAGTACCGTCTCCCAGCCCTTGCTTCACTGATACCTCAATGCAAATGGTTGAGCCGGCTGTGCCCTGAACAAGATGAGGGGACCAGCGGGGGCCAAGTCCTGCCTGGGGTCTTCCCACCAGGCCAGAAGGAGCCGTACGTCCCGCCCCCCACCCCCTCCCAGGACAAGCACAGCACAGGAGCTACTCCGTGGGAATGCACAGAACAGAAGGCAACAGGAGCCTGGAGGCAGCAGCCAGGCCTACCATTTGGGGACTGCAAGCCCTGGCTCACTTCCCAGTCCCTGTTCCCAGCCTACTTGCTCCTATGGCTCAGGAAAGCGAGTACTATGGGCGATAAGTTCGGTCATCTCTCCAGCCCAAGACTCCCTTGGCAGGTAGATAGCTCAAGCTTAATAAACTTCTGTGTCATGGGACCTGCCCTGACAACAGACAGACAGAGGCACTGATAGGTAAGCGAGGCAGGATCCCCACTCCTGCCAGATGGCAGTCCCTTCCCCATCAGGCCTCCAGTCCTCCAACCCGACAATGGAATAGTTGAATCTCATGATCTTAAAGAGACCTATCAGTTCTGACATCCTAAGTGTAAAAATTTCTTACAGGTCAAAAAGAAATGGTTTCTTTTGGCTTCCACCACAGGGATAGACACACAAAGGCTCTAGATCTAGACACTCTGATAGCAACTGAAGGGGAGCCATTTGATGTGTTGGGAAGAGGGTGGTTATAAGGCCTCAGGCAGGGGCACTGCAGGTACATGACCTTAGTGGGGGGAGGGGGAGAGGCCAAACTGTCAGGCCTGAAAGCCATATGTCTGAAAGCCCAAAATAAGCACCTATGCCAAATGAAGCAGCAATTTCTGATTCCTGAGGACAGGAAAACTAGGGTCCGGTCTGGAACTTTAGGGAGGGCCTAGAGAAGGGAGTTAGAAACTATGCCAAACCAAGTGGAGCAAGTTAAAAGAGGAAAAGGGAGCTCCTGGGATAGGTCCCGTCTTGCCCATGGCTCATGGAATCCGGGGCATCCAGCATCTAACCACTGCAGCAGGGACTACGTCCATCCAGGCCCAAGATGGGACTCTGGATTAAAACAAACCCACTTCAGCAAGATCAGAGGAAGAGAATGAATTGGCTCTCCTTCTAGCAGGCTGTGTGGGCCTGGACCGCTCACCCTCCTCTTCAGGCCTCAGTATCAAGGGGTGGAAGTCATTGATCTCAAGAGGCCTCCAGGTTCATAAGGGTCTAGAGTCTGAGCAACTCTCCCAAGGGGGTCTCTGCCAGGCAAGGAAAGTTCTGGAGCACTCTCCTGCAAGCACACCAAGCACTAAGTCCACCTCCTTGCCAGAAAGAGTTCAGGGGCAGGGAACACACAAAAAATACACCAGCCTTGAATGTGCTAATAATCACATGACCAGGAGTTGGGGGGGGGGGGGAGGCAAGTCACACCTTCTAAGAGTCTCCCGTTCCCTTATCTGGAAGATGAGGCTAATCATCTTTTCTCCTACATAAGTGTTCAGAGGCTTTCATTTAATCACTAATAAGCACATACCCTCAAAAGTAAAGGAACTGAACCAAAAATATATGTGTAAGAGAAATGTAGGGGGAGGGAAGGGGCTAAGAGAATCTGAGCACAGTGTTTACAAAGTGCAATGGCCCAAAATTTATGAGAGGTAAGGAAGGGGAGGTCCATCTCAATGGTCTTTGAAGAACCCAGGAAAAGCAGGCTGGGGACAGAAGGAGTTCACCGGCTTTTTCTTTCCAAGTCAGTTGCACAGCATCATGGGAAAGCCAGCATTCTGTATGACAGTGAGAGGAGGGTGCGAGGAGAGCAAGCATTGTGGCACCTGCCGGAGAGCCTTACACTTCCAGATGCAGCAGCAGAAGCATGGAAATGGCATTTGTGTGACCCTCACAGATGATCACTTGATAAATAGCTAAAGAAAATGCAATGATCTGGGTACCTGGGTGGCTCGGTCAGTTAAGCATCTGACCTGTTCAGGTCATGATCTCATGGCTTATGAGTTCAAGCCCTGCATCAGGCTGTGTGCTAACAGCTCAGAGTCTGAAGCCTGCTTTGGTTTCTCTGTGTCCCTCTCTCTCTGTCCCTCCCCCACTCATGCTTTCTCTCTCTCTCTGTCACTCACAAATAAATTAAACATTAGAGAAAGTTGAAAAAGAAAACGGAAATGCAACGATCTAGCCTGGAGAAGACTTGGGAGGAGGTGCAGGGGAAGACAGGGCCCAAGAGCTATCCACACATCCAGGGCTTCTGTCTAGGTCAAAGGGGCCACAGGAAAAGATCGACACTAATTGAACTATTAATAAGAGTTAACATGTATTGAGCAGGTCTTATGCAAAGCACTCTCTATATTATTAACACAGTAAATGTCCATGTGAGAAGTAAGCGAGATGATTCATTTCCAGAAGCACCAAATAAAAGCTGTGTTGTCTAATTAACAATAGGTTTACAACCAACTGGAAAATGTACGAACCTCTCCCCTGCCACGGTGGAATCCCGAACCCTTAGGCACTTCCAGGTTGTTCCCTTCTCCATTTAGCGGGCTTTGCAATGAGCATGCACCAAAAAACTGATGTCTGTGTCACCTCAAAGAATGTACATTTGTTCCAATCAGACTACTTTTTGGCCTGACGTGGGCATAGGCCACTTCCGGGTAAGGCTGTAACCTCTGTAGCGCTCAGCCAATGGGGAATCAGGGGAGGGACTTGCAAGCTAGGAGATAAATTGTCTGCTGTAACCATCTCGAGTGTGCCTCTCCATCAGACACCCACTCTTGCAAGAACGTTGATTAAAGCCTCGCTTCACTGTGCACTGAGTCTCTGTGTCCCCCCTTTGTCGGGGGCAGTGGGCTGATTTCTCACAGTCCATAAGCAACCTCTGAGGTAGCTGTGATTCAGCCCGGGCTAAGGGCGGCTATAGGGACAGATTCCAAATCAGAAACCTTTTATTCTTTTTTAATTGTTTAAATGTTTTTTAGAAAGAGAGCATGAACAAGAGAGAGACAGTCAGAAGGGGAGGGATGAGGGGGAGAGAGAGAGAGAGAGAGAGAGAGAGAGAATCTCAAGAAGGCTCCACCCTCAGTGCAGAGCCTAAAGTGGGTCTTGATGCCACAACTGTGAGATCATGACCTGAGCCGAAATCAAGAGTTGGATACTCAACTGACAGCCATGCCGGAACCCACAGAAACCTTTAAAAAAATTTTTTTAAGGTTTATTTATTTTTGAGAGACAGAGACAGAGTGCAAGCGAGAGAGGGGAAGAAAGAGAGGAGACATATAATCTGAAGCAGGCTCGAGGCTCTGAGCTGTTAGCACAGAGCCCGACGCAGACCTCAACTCATGGACCACCAAATCATGACCTGAGCTGAAGTCGGACGCCCAACCAACTGAGCCACCCAGGGGCCCCAGAAACCTTTTAAACAATCAAAACAAAACTGGTGCTAGAGTAGATCTGCAAAAGGACAACCCGAAGGGCATATCAGAATATGGTATAAAGACACCAATTCAAAATAGTGAGAAGGACTACAATGTATGGTATATAAAAAGCCTTCATTGAGGACATCCAGACGGCCAACAGACACATGAAACGATGCTCAGCATCCCTCATCAGGGAAATACAAATCAAAACCACACTGAGATACCATCTCACGCCAGTCAGAGTGGCTAAAATGAGCAAATCAGAGAATTCTAGATGCTGGCGAGGATGTGGAGAACCGGGCACCCTCCTACACTGTTGGTGGGAATGTAAACTGGTACAGCCCCTCTGGAAAACAGTGTGGAGGTTCCTCAGGAAACTAACACTAGAACTCCCCTATGACCCAGCAATAGCACTGCTAGGAATTTACCCAAGGGATACAGAAATGCTGAGGCATAGGAGCACATGTACCCCAATGTTCATAGCAGCACTCTCCACAATAGCCAAAACATGGAAAGAGCCTAAGTGTCCATCAACAGATGAATGGATCAAGAAGATGTGGTTTATCTATACCATGGAATACTCCATGGCAATGAGAAACAATGAAATCTGGCCATGTGTAGCAACATGGATGGACCTTGAGGGTGTTATGCTGAGCGAAATAAGTCAGGCAGAGAAGGACAAATATCATATGTTTGCACGTATAGGAGGATTAGGAGGAACTTAACGGAGGACCATGGGGGAGAAGAAGGGGGGAAATGGTGGGGGAAAGGGAGAGAGGCAAACCATGAGAGACTCTTGAATGCTGACAAAAACTGAGGACTGATGGATGTGAAAGGGAGGGAGGGATGGGCGTGGAGGAGGGCACTTGTGGGGATGAGCACTGGGTGTTATGTGGAAACTAATTTGGCAATAAACTATTTGTAAAAAAATAAAATAAAATAAAATACATTCTGGAAGAAGAAAAAAAAAGCCTTCATTGTCTGTAAAAGAAAAAAGCATGTAAATTTTTTAAAAAAGCATGTAAATAGCCACCCCCCAAAATAGGCAACAGACATGAACAAACTGGCTCTTCCCAAAGTAAATACAAAAGGCAAAAAAACTTATAAAAAGACATTTAACCTCATTAGCAATGACATAAAATACTGGAAACCATTTTCAGAAAATGCTCAGTATTGGGGCGCCTGAGTGGCTTAGTCGGTTAAGCATTCGACTTTCACTTAGGTCATGATCTCGCGGTTCGTGGGTTTGAGCCCCGCGTCGGGCTCTGTGCTGACTGCCAGTTCAGAGCCTGGAGCCTGTTTCAGTCTGTGAACCCTTCTCTCTCGGACCCTCCCCTGCTCACGCTGTCTCTCTCTCTCTCCTAGAAATAAATAAAACATTAAAAAAAAAAAAAAGAAGAAGAAAAGAAAATGCTCAGTATCACAAATGTGTGGAAAAAAGCAAATCTGTTGCTGGTTAGGGGATACATGGGCTCAAACATCTGGAGGCAATCGGACAATAAGGTGTTTATAACAGCCAAAAAATAAACAAAAGCCAGACAAACAAACAAAAACCTACCCTGGAAACAAACTAAATGTCTGACAATAGATTTGTTAAGTATATCAGGACAGATCTACAAAGAATATTTCAGCCAAAAAAAAAAAAAATTAGGTAGATTGATGCCAAATACCTTACAAAGAGGTATAGAGGGGCGCCAGGGTGGCTCAGTCGGTTAAACGTCCAACTTCATCTCAGGTCATGATCTTGCGGCTCGTGGGTTCAAGCCCCACATCAGGCTCTGTGCTGACAGCTCTCAGCCTGGAGCCTGCTTCATATTCTGTAAGTCCCTCTCTCCCCCTCCCTCGGTCAAGCTCTTTCCCTCTTTCTCTCAAAAATAAACATTAAAAGAAAATTTTTTAAAAAAGAAAAGAGGTATAGAACATACAGTATGATGCCCCCCAAAAAGCAAGTTTAATAGCACATGCTAAAAACCCCATTAGTGTGGGAAGGCTGGGTGGCTCAGTTGGTTAAACATCCCTCTCTTGGTTTTGGCTCAGGTCATGATCTCATGGTTTGCAGGTTGGAGCCCCACATCGGCCTCTGCACTGACAGTGCGGGGTCTGCTTGGAATTCTCTCTCTCTCTGCCCCTCCCCTGCTCACACACTCTTTCTGTCTCTCTCTCAAAATAAATAAACATTGGGGGGAAAAAAGCATTAGTGGAAATGTACATATATTTACCCCTGTAGAAAACATTCAACAATACATACATAGTTAATAATGACTCTCATGAGGAGTTAGATTGCAGAAGGACATTCACAAGAAGCATGGCTTATTCATACATGCCCACTCAAAATATGTGTGTGGGGACAGTTCCCAAGCCTAGTGTACCAAATGTTGAAAGTGCTTATCCCTTATCACTGGGTAGTGAGATTTCAGGTGAGTTAATTTTACCCCTTTTGACCATGTGTATTTTCTTTCTTTCTTTTTTTTTTTTACTGAAAAACAAATAGCTCAATTTATTTATTTATTTATTTTTTTACAAATAGTTTATTGTCAAGTTGGTTTCCATATAACACCCAGTGCTCATCCCCACAAGTGCCCTCCTCCATGCCCCCCTCCCCCCTCCCCCCCACACCCATGAATCCTCATGTGTATTTTCTAAAGTGACTACACATTACTTACTAACGGATGTGCCTGCTTGTCCAAAACACAATCGCCCAACTGGAGCTATCAGGCAGTCTATGAATCTACACATCCTTTGTGGCTCTGGGATCCCAGGACTGGACAATTACTTACCGTTGCCTGAGCATTCCTCCCTCAGGTCCCCCGCCAGCTGGCCCGTGGCACTTTCCTTCCAGCACCTCCCCGACCCCACCGCCCACCCCCAGACTCACCTTCTGAGGACTAATGAGGGAGACTTTGGTCCAGGCCTCAGCGCTGACAGTCAAGTTCCCAGGAAAGGCAATGGGGTCAGGTTTCAGAGTCAGGGTTTTGATCACGACAGGGTCCTTGCCCTCATCACAGTTATCCCAGGAAAAGCTGCTGAGCTGGGAGGGCCAGAGACAATCAGGCAGAAAGAAAAGAAAGGTTGGCAAAAGGAATTTTCATAGGTCGGAAACAACAGAACAGGCTACGGATGGTGTGATGTTGGGCAAGGGACCTGGCCTCCCTGAGCTTTATCTGCATGCAACTCCATGTCGGTAAGCCCCAGATAACATTTGTACCCATTTCCTAGGCAGGACTATCCTCAAAGACTCGAAAGACATCATCTTCCAAAAGTGTGCTGTAAAGTATAAAGCATGATATACCAGACCTTGAGCTTCAAAACCAGTGACTAACTACATCACCTTGGGTAGGTACCTTCTTGATCTCCCATGCTCCCCGCCCCCCACCTGTCTCCAGCCAGTCTTGGCATCTCTTTAGAGGGAAGCCCCCAGAGGATTCACCTTTGCAGCCCCCAGCACCTTACTCAGGTCACACCTGTGCTCAATTCACGGCCAGGAACAATAGGAACAATAGGAAACGTAACAGTGGGAAAACCCACCTTCAAGAGGTATGCAATTAGCCCAAGGAGAGACTAGGACACACATGGGGGGACCCCCAGCGGGCTGCTCGTTGATGGGCCCCAGTGAATGAGTTTCACCAATCCCAACCAGCACTTCCTTCCTCCCATCGTATTGCTCATCCCTTTCCCATCTGAGTCACCCTCCCCCCACGCTGAGCCAGAGGTCTCCAGATTCCACCATCTTGTCTAGCTACACAACCGCTGACTCCCCACTCCCACAGAACCCTGCCTGCCTGTCTATGACCTTTAACATTTCCTGTATTGTGCAGACTCTGCTCGCCCTCTCATGCCCTTCCAGCCTCCTGAAGATCACCCACGAGATACCTCAAGTACTCCCACAATGAGCATCCCATCTTGGAAGGAAAATCTGCCACCCCCACATCCCCCAGCCAACCCTCATCGTCAACACAGCCGGCAGGGCCGAATGGAAACACCTAACCCAAGTTAGGCTGACAGATTCTCTCTGCCTGGGAAATTGAGATTAAGGCAAAAATCCCTACGAGGACTTTGGGCTTTGTGGTGTCACTGGGTCACAACCTTTGGGATGAGGCCAGATCACCTAGACCTGTGACCCACGACCAAGCCAAAGTTTGGGAAGAGACAGTACTAAGGGCTCTGCTGGTTTCTGGAAAAGGGAACAGAAGGGTCACCCCCACCCCTGACCCACCCACCAACCCCATCTCAGGAGGCAGTCTGGGGTGGCAGTGAAAGGCACGCCTCTAGAGTGAGACAGAGGGTAAATCAAAGCTTTAGTCAACAGGTGTTGACAGCTCAGCCACCATATTATGTGATTCTATAGGCCAGTTTCCCCTTTGGCACCCCAATTTCCACATCTTTTAAGTGGGGGTTTTATTCTTTCCTCTCAGGGCTGTAGCAAGGGTGATAACATGTGTGTAGAGCTCTTGACACAATGCCAGGCCCAAAGCATGAACTTGCTCACTAAACAAGAGCCATTAGATGGCCCAGCCTCCACTTCCTGCCGTTAGTTTCAAGAGATTCCTTGTACACTTGAAGTAAACTTCTCCTCACTTGAGCTTTTTGGAATTGGGTTTGTCCCTTGGAATGAAACATGACATGAGGAAGAAAAGCAGAACAGGGTGTGATTCATGCTTGCATGCCCCACAGCCCCTTCCACATGATAAGTGCCAATAAACGTTTCCTTCAATATTCATCCCACAAATATTTATGGAGCAATGATCACGGGCCCTGGGCTAAGTCTGTGTTAATAGTGGTAAACAATTAGAAATATTCTTGCCCTGCCTTGAGGAGCTTACAGTCTAATGTCAATAAATATTACCCACCATTATTTCCGAGCACCAGACAAGAAACAAACAGTGATAATGTTGAGAGTAACAAAGGACTTACTTAAATAGGGTGGTAAGGAAATGATACTTAAGCTGGACTCCCACAGGATGAGGAGTCAGTCGCGTAAGTATGGAGAGAAAGAATGTTCTTTCCAGGCAGAGGCAACATGGGCAAAGGCCCTGTGGGGGGAAGCTTAGTAGGCCTGGGCACTACAGAAAGGCTGTTAGGCTAGATGTAGTGGATGACTGACGCGGGTAAGGTGGGAGGGGTGGTAAGGTCACTTCATGTAGGACCTCATCGGTTATAACTGGGACACTGGATTTACTGTAAGTGCAATGGAACCCCGTCACGAGAGAGCACCACAGCCTGGTTTGTGGTTGAGAATGGATGGAGACGGACAAATCTGGAAGGGGGAGACCAGTCAGGAGGCCACTGTCAAATGAAAGAAACATCTGGACTTAAGAGTGGGCTCGGGGGGAAAAAAAGAGTTGGGTTGGAGTATAGGTTGGAGGCCTAGCCATTTTCCGGGGCTGCTTTCACAGATTCTCGGGCAACCTAAGAACTGATTCCAGGCTCAGGCAGGTGCCCTGAATATCCTGTTGGAGCTGAGGAATTCCTTCCCTTCTCCTAAGCTCCCTGTCCTTCACAGAACTGGGGGAGGCATAAGAACTGGGTTTCCTGGTGCCTGACTAGAGGTTTCTGTAGCAATGGATTCTGCAGCTGGGTCCAGTCCCATCTGGAAAAGCAGGCACGAAGGATTAGCAATGTCCACTGAGGGCCAAGCCTGGGCCAGGGGTCCCCTCTTATCTGCATGGGATACTTTCCAACACCCCCAGTGGATGCCTAAAATCACAAATGGTCCTGAGCCCTATATATACTGTGTCTTTTTCTATACATACTTTCTTAATACATACGTATGATAAAGTTGAATTTGTAAGTTAGGCCCAGGAAGAGATTAACCACCTTAACTAATCATAAAATAGAACAATTACAATAACAACCCACGATTACGCGAATATGGTCTCTCTCCCTCAAAATATCTTATTCTACTGCACTCACCCCCCTTGTGAGGACTGGCTTGAGAAAGTGCCTGTCCGGTGAGATGGGAGTGAGGTGCAGGACTCAGGCACTGTGATATAGCATTAGGCTACTATTAATGAGGATTTTAGAAGGAGAATCATCTGACTCCAGACTGTGATTGACAAGCTAACAGACACCACGAAGAGCGAAATCACGGATAAGAGGAAGACTACTGTATTTGCAATCCCCAGTATAGGCAAAGGGGAAAGGCACAGATCTGGAGGCAAAAATATGGGTGACTAACTCAAATCTGGGTTCCAATCATACCTCAGCCACTTGAGGTTCAATTTCGTCATGTATTACATGGGCATAATTCTGTCTTCTCGCAGGGCTACTGGGAGAATGAGAAGTTTGTACAGAATATAAGGTCACCACTCCTCGAGGCTGGCAACCCATGAAAACACAAGACTGAGAAGCTGTCATAGATCAGAGGAAACTGAGGAGACAGAACATCAAAAGCACCGTGGTGCCCTGGACTGCATCCTGGAAAAGGAAGAAGGCATTCATGGGAAAACCAGTAAAATCCAAATAAAGCCGAGAGTTTAGCTAATGATGATGAGCCAATGTTGATGTCTCAATTTGGTATGCACAATGCACAATGGTAACGTAAGATGTTGATGGGGGGGAAACTGGGTGAGGAGTAAATGAGAACTCTGTACTATCTCTGCAACTTTCCTGTAAATCTAAAACTATTTCCCCAAAACAGCTTACTAGAAAACACACACGCACACGCACACACACACACACGCACACACACACACACACACACACACACACAGCACAGAGTATGTGCACAATAAATGATGGTCATTATACAGTGTCACTGAGTCTACTAAGCACCTATTGTATGCCCAGCACAGGATCAGACATTCTCCCCTCTGTCTAATGCAGGTCACAGCCCAGCAACACGTGACTGGTTAATGCTAGAAGAGGAAATGAAACTCAAGTTTCCAGATGTTTAAATGTTCACCATCACCCCACTGCCGTTATCTGCCCCATGGTCTCAGGCAGTGGACACTGAATCACACGAGCCCTGAGAAAAACAGAATGCTACAAGTTGTGCAATCTTAAGTGAGGTCCTATCCTCTATGGGTGTGAGTGAGGTGAGTGAACTTGGGATGTCTAAGGGCCTCCCCCAAACTGCTGATCCAAAGCCCTCTGGTCTGGGATGGCATCCATGGCCAAGGCATAGAAGAGAATGGGGATGTAGGGCAAGTTGGAGCTCTAGCCAGACTCCACCTCAAAGCGGTCAGCCCTGGAACCAAGAGAAATATTCTCAACCTACATTCACAGACAAATTGTGAATCCTCTAGGCAAATAAGGCCAAGAGGTCCTTAAGCCTTCAATCAACAGGCAAAATAATTAGACCCCTTGCCCCTGGGGCAGGTTGAGGCCAAGCCTACTGGCTTGAATCACTTTTCTTGTTTAAGATATTTGGAGCCTTTCCATTCATGAAAGCATCTCCCTTCACCCACGTCCATCTAAGAAAGGTAGGTTGGTATCATCATGCCCATTTTATAGATGAGGAGACCAAGACTCAGGGAACCCAAATGCCAGGCCCAGAGATCAGAGACATAGGAGGGATGAGAAGTCAAGCCTCAGTCCTATTCCACTTTCCCCTACACCACACTGTTCCTCTCCTTGCTCTAAAGCGAATATTTCCGAGGTGGTTGGAGGGAGGGGATCTAGGCTGGGCCTCTCCTAAACAGCTGCTGGAGGTAAGGTATCTTGCCCATAGCTATGCAGCAAACAGGCAATGGAACTAGGCTTCTCCAGGTCTCAGAATGACAGAACTTCCCTTTCCAAGGGTCTGGAGCATGGGGTGAAGGAGAAGTGAAGGAGGAAGCCTGGAGGCTGGGAACTCTTCATGACCCGTAACCACAAGCAGTGCGGCACACGACTGGATCTCTGTCACCAGAAAAACAAGTGTGGGTCTTCCTGCCTCTCAAACTCGCCCACCCATCAGGACAAGCAGAGCCACAGAGCTGTACAGAAGGGGAGTGGAAGGGGCGGGCCGGGGGGAGGTGCAGGTAAACAAGGATGAGGCTCTGGGCCCGGGAGCAGCTCCTTAGTCTTGCAATTCTGCCAAATTTCACTGAGACGTTGGAAAGACGGCAGGAGTAGAGACGTGCGGGAGATTAACACTTCCCCAAAAGTCTGGAGCAGAACAAGGCCTCACAGCCCAGCCTCACTCCCAGAGGGTGTTAACTGAAACTCAGAGAGTGAAAAGGACCTACTCGGTCTCCCACAGTTAGTGACTCCGGGAGGCTCTGCCACAGATAAGGAATTCTAGAAACCAGAGTGGCCGCCCCCATAAATCCACCCCGACCCACACACCCCCAACCGGGCCGGCATGCTGGGAGCAGCCTCGGAAAGGAAAGGGCGCTCACCTGTTTCAGGAGGGCATCCGCAGGTACCGCAGGGCTGGCGAGAAGCAAGCCCAAGACGAGCAGGAGCTGAGCCTGTATCTGAGGACTCATCGCAAGCGATAGGTCTGCGCAGGCCTAACTACTAGGTCTGCGTCGGCGACGACGCCTTTAAATACTTGCCTTCATTTATTATGCAAAGCCGGACATTGCTATGCAAAGCTGAGCGCTGAGGTTTGCCCCGCCCGGTCTGGATCTGAGGTTCCTAGGCCTGGTGGTAGCTCTCTCTCTCCCGACTCCACCCCCGAGAGGTTCCTACTGGAGCCCCTCCCACCGCGCAAGGGCGTCAAGCCCCTCCTTCTGACCGGCGTCAGCAGAGCCGGGGCGAAAGGGGAGGGGCTTGTGGGCGGGGCCGGAGCGAGAGGCGGGGCGGGGCGGGGATGCCTTTTCTAAAGCTGCCGGAAAAGCTTTTTTGTTTTCAAACCCGCGTGCATTCCTGGAGCAAATGTCACACTCCCCGTCCGTATTACTCTTTCCTGTATTCGTGTTACGAATTACTATGTCCTTTTAATAAGTATAATCATAATTGTAATAACTGAGAGTAAGTGCTTTAATGCATGCTAAGCACTGTTAAACACTGATAAACACTTAATCCATATTTTTGCGCCATTTTACCACTCATGAAAACGTACACGGCGAGATTAGCTTTGACAAGGTCACAGAGCTAGGAAGTGATAAAGCAAGGATTCTGCTTACATAGTCCATCAGCCAAGATTTTTTAAAAGGCCTGATAGTAAATATTTTAGGCTCTCAGTCCGTATAACCTGCATTGCAACTATTTAATTGTGCCTTTATAGCTCAGAGCAGACATAGACAACACATCAGCTAATGGGCATGTCTGTGTTCCAGTAAAACTTTACTAATGAAAATAGCCCACAGGCCATAGTTTGCAGGTCCCTGTTTTAAATGTATTCTTAATGTTTATTTTTTGAAAGAGACAGACAGAATGTGAGCAGGGGAGGGGCAGAGAGAGAGAGAAAAAACCACAAAATCCAAAGCAGGCTCCAGGCTCTGAGATGTCAGCACAGAGCCTGACACGGGGCTCAAATTCAAGGAATACGAGATCATGAACTGAGCCAAAGTCGCACAACCGAACCACCCAGGCAACTCCCCCCCTCCACAAATTTAAATTCCAGTTAGTTAACACAGTGTAATATTGGTTTCAGGTGTACAATAGAGTGACTCAACACTTCTAAACAACACCCTGTGCTCATCACAGCAAGTGCACTCCTTAATCCCCATCACCTATTTTAACCATCCCTCTACCCACCTTCCCTCTGATAAGCATCAGTTTGTTCTCTATAGGTAAGAGTCTCTTTCTTGGTTTGTCTCTCTCTCTCTTATCTTTTTTATTCCCTTTGCTCATTTGTTTTGTTTCTTAAATTCCACATATGAATGGAAATCATATGGTATTCGTCTTTCTCTGACTGACTTACTTCACTCAGCATAGTATTCTCTGGCTCCATCCATGTCATTGCGAAGGGCAAGATTTCATTCTTTTTTTTTGTGCTTGAGTAATTTTTCATTATTTATATATATACACCACCTCTTCTTTATCCACTCATCAGTCAATAGACACTGGGGCTGTTTCCACAATTTGGCTATGGTTGATGAAACTACTATAAACATTGCAGTGCATGTATCCCTTCAAATTAGTATTTTTGTATTCTTTGGGTAAATACCTAGTAGTGCAATTGCTGGATCATAGGATAGTACTATTTTTAACTTTTGAGGAACCTCCATACCGTTTTCCAAAGCAGTTGGCACAGTTTGCATTCCCACCAACGGTGCAAGGGAGTTCCCCTTTTTCCACTTCCTCACCCACATTTGTGGTTGAGCAATTTTCACAGAGCTAGAACAAACAACCCTAAAATTTGTATGGAACCACAAGCACCCTGGATGGCCAAAGCAATCTTGAAAAAGCCAAGCAAAGCTAGAGGCATCACAATTGCAGACTTCAACTTACATTGTGAAGCTGTGACAATCAAAACAGTATGGTCCCAGCACAAAAAATGGACACATATATTAGTGTAACAGAATAGAAAACTCGAATGAGCTGGTGAGAGAGAAATGATATGGTTAATTAATCTTTGGCAAAACAGAAATGACTATCCAATGGGAAAAAGACAGTCTCTTCAATAAATGGTGCTGGGAAAACTGGACAGCAACATGCAAAAGAATAAAACTGGACCACTTTCTTACATCATACAGAAAAAATAAATTCAAAATGGATTAAAGGCCTAAATTTGAAACTTGAAACCATAAAAGTCCTAGAGGGGAACACAGGCAGTAACCTCTTTGACACTGGCCATAGCACTTTCTTTCTAGATATATCTCCTGATGTAAGGGAAACACAAACAAAAATAAACTATTGGGATGACATCAAAAGAAAAAGCTTCTGCACAGTGAAGGAAACAATCAAAACTAAAAGGCAACCGGCAGAATGGGAGAAGATATTTGCAAATGACATATGTGGTAAAGGTTTAGTATCCAAAATATATAAAGAACTTGTAAAACACAACACCCAAAAAATTAATAATCCAATTAAAAATGGGCAGCCTGGGTGGCTCAGTCGGTTGAACGTCTGACTTCAGCTCAGGTCATGATCTCATGCTTTGTGAGTTCGAGCTCTGCGTCGGGCTCTGTGCTGACAGCTGGGAGCCTGGAGCCTGCTTCAGATTCTGTCTCCCTCTCTCTCTGCCCCTCCCCCTCTCACACTCTGTCTCTCTCTGCCTCTCAAAAATAAAGAAATGTAATAAAGAAAATTTTTTTAAAGGGCAGAAGACATGAATAGACATTTTTCCAAAGGAGACATACCAATGGCCAACGGACACATGAAAAGATTGTCAACATCACTCATCATCAGGGAGATGAAAATCAGAACAACAAGGAGATATTACCTCACACCTATCAGAATGGCTAAAATCAATGTTTTTTTAATTATACACTTTCCTCCCATTCTGATCAGCTCTTCCCTCTCTCACCTAGAACAGCATCTTAATCATACACAAGTGCACTTCCAGGCCTCTTGAGGTAGAAGACTTGTCCAATGAAGCATGTCCAGCAGAAGCAAAATTAGTACTCATCTCTCCTGAGGTGCCTGGCTGGCTCGGTCGGTTGAGTGTCTGACTCCTGATTTCAGCTCAGGTCATGATCCCAGGGTTGTGGGATGGAGCCCTGCATCTATCTCTGCTCCGAGCCTGGAGCCTGCTTAAGATTCTCTCTCTCTTGGGGCGCCTGGGTGCCTCAGTCGGTTGAGGATCCGACCCTTGATTTTGGCTCAGGTCACGATCTCACAGTTGGTGAGTTTGAGCCCTGCATCAGGCTCCCTGCCTGTTTGGGATTCTCTCTCTCCATCTCTCTCTGCCTTTCCATACCCCCTCCCCCCAAGTGATCTCTTGTGCACTCTGGCTTTCTCTCTCTCAAAAATAAAGTAATTAATTAGAAAAAAAAAGATTCCCTCTCTCCCTCTCTCTGCCCCTCTCCCCACTCAAGCATGCACTCTCCCTCTAAAATTTCAGGAAAAAAAAAAACAGAACTCACTTCTCTTAAAGCTGATCTTAAAGTGGTATGAGAGATATTCATGTGGCTGCACTTGCTGGTGGCTGTGTGGGTGGTGGGAAGGGGAACTGGGTGCCAGTGCCAGGATCCCCAGGAACCTCATTGGGAAAAAAGAGAGGGGGGTGCACTGACTCCCTTTCAGCATCATTCCTTCTCCATCTTTGTACCTGCCAAAGCCCCTCAACCCCATTACCCACTCCCTCCCCACTCCTAAGTACCCGGCACACTCCATCACACAAGAACTTCATGATCTTGGGCGTAAAAAGTTAATGCCACCTTGGAGGATCTCTCCATGAGCAGGCACATTCCTCGTGGATGGGAGTATTTGACAGCTCCATTTGAAGGGCTCTGGAGGAGATGTTGGAGGCCACAGACACAGTGACCGGAAACTGAGACCATAACCAAAGTGGAAGGTGAAAGAGGGCAGCGGCTTGTTCAGAGCGCTTGCCCCACGTCAGGCGGACCCAGGCCTTTGTCCAGTGAGAGACTCTAGCTAGGACCTTAACCTCTCTGGCATCAGTTTCCTCATTTGCAAAACAACTATAATAATAATAATAAAACAACTACTTCTCAGTGCTATTCATTCAACAAATAACTTACAGATTTTAAAAAATTCTTAACACATTTTTTAATGTTTATTTCTTTTTTTGAGAGAGACAGAGCGACAGAGAGCAAGAAGGGGAGGGGTAGTGAAAGATGGAGACACAGAATCAGAAGCAGGCTCCACGCTCCAAGCTGTCAGCACAGAGCTGGACATAGGGGTCAAACTCATGAACCAGGAGATCATGACCTGAGCCGAAGTCGGGTGTGTAACGGAAGGAGCCACCCAGGCGCCCATTAACTTACAGGTTTAACAGCTGAACTATATAAAGGCCCTGCCCCACCCTCATCATCCCACCTCATCCCAATAATGTCTATTCCAGAAAGACAATCAGTAAGTAAGGACATAAACAAGATATTGATGAGGGCCAGAAGGCAAGCTGAGGGCCAAGCACAAGCTAGCACAACCCCCTCCTACCCCCAGCTGGGATACGTGTGATATTTCTCAGGCACTCCTGGCTGCCCAAGAACAAAGGAAAGGAAAGAAAACAAATGGTTATCTGAGAAAGACCCCACAGTCTGAGGACATGAGTCTCCATCAGTTTACAAATATCTTAGTAAATTACAAGAAAAAGGCAATGCTATCAATAGCCTAATCTCCAGAAACCTATAGACTTAATTTCCGGTAGCCCTAATATCACCTTTCTCCATAGTGATGGGGGAACAGAGGCAAGAAGGAAATGGCGGGTAAAATTAAATTTCCTTATACCTGCAGCCCATTGACAAATACTTGCGGCAAATACGGAGTAGAACATTTCTCCAGGAACCCCCTGCTGTCCTGAGGTTAACGCCTTACTAGAGGAAAAACAACCTTAGCTTGACAACAGCAAGGCCCCAGGTACCTTAGGAGTCCTCTTTAGCATGTCAAAGTCCTTCTGGAAGCTTCAGGTTTGCCTTTATCTCCCCCAACTCCGTACTATATAACCAGTCACTCCTCACAACCCCAGTGCAGCTCTTTCTGCCCACGGGTCCTGTCCCCGTGCTTTAACAAAATCATCTTTTTGCACCAAACGCATCTTCAAGAATTCTTTCTTGTCCATCCACTCTGAACCCCCACCATTCCAAAACTTCATCAATATCCCAAGAGTAATTATACCAGAAGACAAGAAATACAAAGTGTGGTGAGTTGCCTTCTTCAGTCTGGTAAGACTTCTCTGAGGAAGCAGACTTTGACCACCCTGGAGAGAAATGAGAAACATGTGGGGTAAGAGCCAATGTAAAACTTGAACCCGGTCAAGACCACCAGGCCATGGTTCCCAGCAGGCTTCCACACCACCATCATCTAAGGAGCTTATAAAAACCCCTATCCCCAGGCCCACCCTCCTGACCAATTACATCTAAATCTCTGGTATTGGTGTATTTTTTAATTCCAGGCAATTCAAATATGTAGCCAAGATGGACATCCAGTAATGTGATGCAGCTGGCAGACGACAGGTGCATCCGTACATAAAAGTGTCCTTGAAGAAATCACATCCTAAGAGTGATGGGTTGGAAAACTGGAAATTGTATCACCCGAACGTTCATGGTCATGGGCTTCCTGAAGGAGTAACAAGGTCAGAGCCCCAGAATAACATGGTCCAGGATGACCTACGAGTCGTGCTGGTGGGTGGTGGCAGTGAATGTTCCTGGGGACCCAGCATGTGCATAAAGCTGGAGTGGTGAGTTCGGGGAGTGTAATGAGGAGTGCTTATGGGTATGAGGAACAAAGGCAGAAGAAAATGGTAGATGAAATTAAATTTCCTTATACCCAGCAGCCCATTGACAAATACTTGAGGCAGGTAGAATATGACATTCCTCCAGGGACTCCCTACTGTCTTAATGTTAATGTTCTGCTAGAGAAAGAGAACCTTAGCTAGGCCTCCAGGATCTGTGAGTCTTCTTAACATATGAAAATCCTTTTGGAAACTTCCCATTGCCTTTACCTCCCCCAACTCCCAAGTATATAATCAGTCTTTCCTCACAATCCTAGGGCAGCTCTTTGTGCCCACGGGTCCGGTCTCCAGTGCTCTAATAAGACCTTTTTGCACTGAGGACACCTCAAGAATTCTTTCTGGGCTTTCAGCTCCAAACCCCGACGCTTTCCACATCACTTACTGCTTCAAATGCCTATGAAGCCGGCACAGAGTCAGATGCAGAGGTCACGGACATGCAACACCAGCCTCAAACATGATTTGTTTGCAAGGTGTGTCTTAGAAATTTACTTAGTTGCTGGTAGATAATAAAAACATGAAGGAACCGATTCCTCATTAAATTGTGGACTTCCAACTTCTTCTGAAAAATCAGAGAAACTGGACACACCAGCCTGCACTCCCACGGGGCAACAGTCCATTGAAACTGATCTGTCATTGACCCTTTAGGTGGGGTCTGGGCTCAGCAGTCTCCACACCGCCTCTAGGCTGAGCATCTCCTCTCTTTTGTTACAGCCTGGTCTCTGTGGGGTTTCTACCCAAGTTTAGTCTGGACACCTGGTTTTAAATCATGGCTATTCTGGTTAGTACAGGATCATTTTCAAACAGAAGGTAAAATCATAGCACTCATACACATAGAAAATGAGCACACGTGAGAGATTTTATTTTTTATATTAAATTTTTTTATTTTATATTTATTTTTGAGAGACAGAGTGTGAGCAGGAGACGGGCAGAGAGAGGGAGACACAGAATCCAAAGCAGATGCCAGGCTCTGAGCTGTCAGCACAGAGCCCAATGTGGGCTCAAACTCACTAACCATGAGATCATGGCCTGAGCTGAAGTCAACACCCAACCCACTGAGCCACCCAGGCGCCCTGAGATTTTTGTATAACTTGAACTCTACTGAGGGAAACAGATGCTACAACTAGTGCAAACAAAAATCTGAAGAACAAACACATTTGTAGATGGGGAATATTGAGGTATGGGTACAAATTGGGGGCAAAGCTGCCTCTTACCAGGGAGGTGGGGAGACGGGGGAGAGAAGTCAATTTAAACTCCACAGGACAAGCATTCACATGTCCATAGGCAGTGACGATTTTCCATTGTCATGAGTTATCTACTTCAGAGGCAATGAAAGGCACAGAGCCCCCCCAGAGAATCACACACAGATATCAGATATCAGATACGGAAGGGGATGCTCTAGGCAAGAAATAGTTTTCCACTGAAGCCAAAATTTTTTCCTCTAAATGGTCAATGGCATTTCTGACTTTAGGAATGCCTTCTTGTCTCCAGGCTCAGGGCCACACCCCCGGGCAGGACTGCAGAGCTGATCAAAGCACCACCTGCTTCTCACCTCACCTGTCTAAAACCTTAGCGCCTGGAGGACTGACAATGCCCTGGGGAGCGAGGCTGGCCTGGTCAGGCAGGCCCCATTGGCGAAGGTGCCTTGGGAGTTCCGGCCAGGCCTACCTGACCTCCTCTCCCAGCCTGAGTCTGAGGGCCCAGAGCTGGAGGGCCCTGTACAAAATCACATGGCTCTGATTCCCAAAGATTTTTATCTCCTTAGAGCCTTTGCTTCGAGCTGTGATCTCCATGCTGACACACACTGAAGTCACCTGAGGAGCTTTAAACAAACTACCTGAGAGCCCAGGCCCAGGCTGTGCCCCAGGGTGGGCCCTAGACATCAGCATTTTTATTTATTTATTTTTAAATTTTTTAATGCTTTATTTATTTCTGAGAGAGAGAAAGAGAGAGACAGCATGAGCAGGGGAGGGTCAGAGAGAGAGGGAGACACAGAATCTGAAACAGGCTCCAGGCTCTGAGCTGGCTGTCAGCACAGAGCCCGACACGGGGCTCGAACCCATGAACTGCGAGATCATGACTCGAGCGTAAGTCAGACGCTTAACCAACTGAGCCACTCAGGCGCCCCTAGACATCAGCATTTAAAAAAAATTTTTTTTAAAGTTTATTTATTTTGAGAGACAGAGAGAGAGCATGAGCAGGGGCAGAGGAAGAGGGAGACACAGAATATGAAGCAGGCTCCAGGCTCTGAGCTGTGAGCTGTCAGCACAGAGCCCGACATGGGATTCGAACCCACAGACTGGGGGATCATGACCTGAGCCGAAGTCGGACGCTTAACCGACTAAGCCACCCAGGTGCCCCTACATCAGCATTTTTAAAAGTCTCCCAGGGATTCCAAGGTGAAGCCAACAGTGAGGACCACTGGTCTAAAGGTGTTTTTATCTAATGGTAAAGTGCATGCAAAACACATGGTATCTCCGTAAAATGCAGATAATGATTCCCCAGGTCTGGGGTGGAGCCCAGGAATTTGCATTTCTAATGAGTTACCCTTGGAGACAGTGCTGCTGGCCTGAGGACAACAATGAGAATAAGCAGGGTCCAGACTGAGAGACTTCTCCACCACTGAGTGGCAGAGATAGGTACAGATAATCACTATTTCCTCCCTGGGAAGGCATCGGTGGCCTTCCCCCTCCTCCTCAGTTTACTGAAACAGAGCTGGAAGGACAAAGCCTTGCGCTTCCAGGCCCTCATCTCTGCACCACATCCCCCCACTGCATGCTGAGGTGGGATGAGTTTCATGATGTGTGAGGGCTGGTCCAGATGCAGCATCCAGGTCCGTGGAGTTGGGTGAGTCCAACAGAAGCCTGTTCTTTGAAGACCTTTGCTCCACCCTCCCTCCCACTTTGCTCCACCCTTTCCTACCCTTCCTCCCCTCTGGCTTCTTTCCCTGCTCCCCTGCTGGTCTCCAAAGTAGCCCTCAAAGATTATTTGAATTGAACAGACCCTGGCTGCAATCTATCAGTAGTTTTCCAACCAAGGAAAATCCCCCTGACTTCATAGGAGGACCAGGCAATGCCGAAAAGAACCTTAATTCTCTGATAACTCCCAACGGGGGGGTGGGGGTTGAAGGTGGGAGTATGAGAATCTCACCCCTTCTTAGGACCTGGGACCTGGACTCTGGGACCGGCGCTAGCAATGCACTGGCACGAGACTTCCGCTAGGCAGCACCGTCGTCACAACCTCTTCAAGGGTCCTTTGGAGTTTCCAAAGCATTTCATGAGTTGTCTGTCTCCATCATTCATTCGGCGAGCATTTACTGGGCAGAGCAATGCCAGAGTCAGGGGCTCAGGGATGCAAAGCGGAATCGGCCTGCACTCTAAGTACTCACCCCTGTCGCGCCAGGCACCTCGCACACTGTGGTCTGCACAGCTGGGCAGAAACCGTGGGGGACGGTGTCCGGCCGCCACCTGTATTACATTCATCCGGCCGGCAGGGGGCGGCCGTTACCCAATCGGAGCTCCAGTTGGCAGACACACTGGCCCAGGGTGGACAGATCTGATTTTTCACGAAAAGCTGGAAATACAGAATTTTATGTGAGTTCTTCAAATCGTCACGTATGAGCAGCTAGTTCAGATCGTTATAAAAGACCTCGTGGGCTAAAAATAAGTCTGCAAGACAGATGTACCCCCAAAGCACCGCAGTGGGCAAACTGAAGTTTGACCCCAGAGTGTGGGAAACTGACTTCATTAAAAAATGTCACAGCTTTAGAGCATTATTCCAACGCCCGCATTTTATGTGCGGGGAGACTGTATTCAGAGAAAAGAGGGGACCTGTCCAGGTTTGTTAGGGCAGAGCCAAGGGCAGGACTCAGGAGTCCTGACATCTGGTGCAGTCTTTCTTGGGGCAGGAAGAACACACACCAGAACCCTGGGGTCCCCAGCGAAGTGCAGTCCTACAGCTTAGAGGGCGTGCTGGGGAGAGCTGGTCCTGGCCAGGGGAGCCCTGACGGGGCTGGGGAGGTCGCCAGAGCCCAAGGGCAGGAGGGGGAGCAGGAGTTTATTTTTAGCTGCCTAGAATGTGCCTGTAAGCCTTATTTAGACATCAGGCGACAGAGTGAGCTGTAGGCAGCAGGGGCGGGGGAGGAGATAGCCCCCTCCCCCTCCTCGGGCTCTTTTTACAACTGCTCTCCCCTGCCTGCCCCCTTATCATCCTTTCTGGGGGCTCTGGGGCTGCTCTAAATAGCAGCTCTTGCAGGCGTGGGCGCTCTCCCGCTCTGGCTGGCTGGCTGGCTGGCTGGCTTTCTCCTCCACCTCCATCCTTTATCCCCTAGTCCCCATAGTCCCATAGAGAAATAAAGCTCTAGAGACCTAGAAAGTTTTCTCTTCACCCTCCTGGGGTCACAGATCTCTTTGAGAAGCTGGAGTAATTCATCATAGTAGTTTAGAGCTCAGGTAGGGAAGACTGATTGACATCTGCCTGGTCCAGCATATGACACCACGCAAGTCTTCACACTCCCCCAAACTGAGTTTTTACTTCACAGTGGATGGTTCCTCATGATTCAGTGATAAAGGATGTAAAGACTTTAGCATATCATAAGTCATCAATAAATAATGGTGATGGTGACTAAAGCTATAGACCAAAATGGAACTACTCACACACAACATTCAAGAGGTTCATGTAAACTCTGAAGCGCATGAATCCCAATCCAACCAATTAATCCATTCATCATTTCGTGTGGTATTTAACTGACAGAGAAAGCAGTGCACATATTTAACGTATGTGATTCCATGAGTTTGGACATAGGCATAGACCCCTGAAACTATCACCACAGTCAAGGTCAGTAAACATAGCCATCATTTGAAAAAGTTTCCTGGTGCTTCTTTATTTTTTTGGTTTTTGTTTTGCTTTATGTTTGTGGCAAGAACACTTAACCTAAGATCCACCCTGTT